CTTTGTTTTGTTTCATTTTGTAATTTTTTTGTTGTTGTCAGATTTTAATTGTTATTTGAAGCATGTTATTTAAATGTGATCTTGACAAACGATTAAACAGATTTCGCTTTGTCACAATTCAAGTAGATAGGACTGTACTTGCAGAACTTGAAAAAGCTGCCCAGGGGCGTTATGAGTATGGCCGTCAAATGAACTGAAGGGGCTTTGTCTCTAATGCTTGCCTGGGTCTGTCCCTTAGGCCACAAAAAGAGAGACTCCACTGATCTGCCAATGATACAAAGTTGAGGAAAGACAAAATAGACAAGCAAACCCTGGGAAAAACGTTTTCATACGCAGTTTTCTTTGTCTTGTGTTGTTTAATTGTATTATGAAACTATGATATTATATTTAATTATATACATTACATTATATTATATTATTATTAAATATTAAATGATTAAAAAAGTATTATTAAATAATGCACACAAACACACATACCCACACACATAAAAGCATAAAACATACTAACCTGCTAGTAATACCATACAAGCCAAAAATACAGATTAACAAACAATCACTGTATGTTTGGAATGGGGACAGCCTGCTGTGTGAAATGAGCCAGTTCATCATGTTGGAAACAGAATTATCCTGAAACTTATCAGGAGGCAGATGTGACCATCAGCAGCCACTCCTGCTTAGAAGATCATCATTACACACCAGCAGACCAGTTCAGACACACACATAAACACTCTCAGCCCCACTGTCAGGTTAAACACATGCAGCACATGGACCCGTCCCTGCCTAAACGGCATGTCACTGATGCAGCTGCACAATCTAATTGGCTTTCGCTGCAGAAACACCTGCCACTCAGAAAATGGAAGGTGATATTGAGTATGAAAATCCATATTTGCCAAAACACAAGCGTAGCACCTCACAGACTTAACCAAGTCTTAGCCTGTTTTTTTCTACCCTGATAGAGAAGTTTAATTTCTGAGCATTAAACAGCCTCCCTTCATAATGCTTTATAATTGACGTTGATGTGAGATTCCACAATAATGAGCTTGGTCTGAGTCTGCTATCAGCCCACCTGTCTGACAGCACACTCGCACTTACAATTGCATTCAGTGAACTGGAGAAAATTGAGTTTTAGACCCCAAATCCATTAACAGGCGATGTGTGCTGTCTCATACTGAAATATACTCTGACATACAAATATGAACTTTTGCTAGCTCTGTATTAGCTTGTTCTGTTTGAGTTTTGGCGGTTGTTATGGACAATTACAGTTCTCTCATCTGATTGACAATAAATCAGGAGAGACACTGAATGTAGACATGGCAAGGTTGATTTGGTTTTCATTGTGAACTTAAATGTTTCTGTAAAAGAGTTTCATAAGCTGACTTAATGAGTTAACATAAGTTCCATTTGTTAACATTAGTTAACTAGTTAACATAAACAAACAATGCAAAACACTTCTAAAGCATTTATTAATCTTAGTCAGAGGCGGACAAAGTACTCAACTCCATTACTTGAGTGAAAGTACAGATACTGCTGGTCAAATATTACTCCACTACAAGTAAAAGTTGTAAAGACAGATTTTTGCTTAAGTAAAAGTACAGAAGTACTTTGTTTTTAAAAGTACTTAAGTACCAAAAGTAAATTTCCTTTTTTATGTCAATGCACTGTTTTATTGTTGTACGTAATACTTGCAATACTTCTGAAGCAACTTAGAATACATTACACCTACTGAATACACTGACTAGCTTGTAGTATTCTTTGGAATAAAGAGCTTTTAGAATGTTAAAAACCTATGGGGGAAAAGAAATTAACACCCTATACCCACCCCCACAAAAGCAGTATGGTAGTGATCTCACACAGCTCTGACAGTGTGTGCACAGAGCACACATCTATGTGTAACCATTCATCCACATTTGAAACAGAGTGGACAGTGAAATCCTGTAAATACAGAGTGATAAGGAAGAAAAAAAATCAAACCTGCTTTAAAACCCAGCAACACAACTGTAGCTGTACAACTTTACAACAGCAACACTGCTTTAACAAAAAAGCAAAACAGCAAGACTTATTTGACATCAAAACAAAAATGATAAAATGCTGTCTAATCGCTCTCGCTGTACTTTGATGTCACACAGAGAACGGTCTGTGCAGTGCTGCTTCAAGTCCAACACCTATTGTGTTTTATTAGGAGATGCACAACAGTTCTTCTGTGGCTTTATAGGTAATATTTTCACTTACACAATTGAGCAAAATCAGACAATATTGTGTCTAATATATACCACAATATTAACTTCCTGTTATTGAATTGTTGTAAATAAATATCACATTTGCAACTGGTCAGTGTTCAAAAAATGCTGAGAAATCACTTCATGTAGCCCTACAAGAGTGATTACTGATAAACTGTCTGAAAAGTCACGTTTTAGAGAAGAAAAAAATCACCCACTGACTTTCAAAGCTGCTACTTAACGACTTTCTACTTTGAGGACCTTGATAGAAATGTAGTGGAGTGAAAAATACAATATTTGTCTTTCAAATGTTGTGAAGTTAAAGTCATAAGTTCCCAGAAAAAATAATACTCAAGTAAAGTACAGATGCACAAAAAGTGTACTTAAGTACAATACTCAAGTAAATGTACTTAGTTACTGCCCGCCTCTGATCTTAGTTAATGTTGATTCCAACATTTAGTAATACAAATAAAATCAAAAGTTAATTAATGTAATGTAATGGACCTGAGCTAACGTGAAATAACAATGAACAGTTGTATTTTTATTAAAGTGATAGTTCACCCAAAAATGAAAATGTGATGTTTATCTGCTTACCCCCGGGGCATCCAAGATGTAGGTGACTTTGTTTCTTTAGTAGAACACAAACGAAGATTTTTAACTCAAATCGTTGCAGTCTGTCAGTCATATAATGGAAGTGAATGGGAATCACGGCTTTGAGAGTCAAAAAACATACACAAACAAAGCCAAATGAAACCCTGCGGCTCGTGACGATACATTGATGTGTAAAGACACGAAAGATCGTCTGTGCAAGAAACTGAACAGTATTTATATAGTTTTTTTTACCTCTGATTCACCACAATGTCCGAACTGTCCTGAGCGCGCTCGCGTCTTCTTTTTCAACCGGCGCGTGACACGTCTTCTTCTTCTTCTTGCTTTACAGCAGATCGCAGACTTATAAGTGCATCACCGCCACCTATCTCTCAAGTGGACCATTGACACTCCTAATTGAGATTGTTGATAGAGAGTCAATGGTCCATTTGAGAGATAGGTGGCAGTAATGCATTTATAAGTCTGCGATCCGCCATAAAGCAAGAAGAAGAAGAAGATGCGTCACGCACCAGCTGTTGAGAACGCGCTCAGGACAGTTCGGACATTGCGGTGAATCAGAGGTAAAAAACAATATAAATACTGTTCAGTTTCTTGCACAGACCGATCGTTTTGTGTCTTTACACATCAGTGTATCGTCACGAGCCGCAGGGTTTCATTTGGTTTTGTTTGTGTACGTTTTTTTGAACAAGCCGTGATTCCCATTCACTTCCATTATATGACTGACAGTCTGCAATGGTTTGAGTTAAAAATCTTTGTTTGTGTTCTACTGAAGAAACAAAGTCACCTACATCTTGGATGCCCTGGGGGTAAAAAAAACTTTTGAAATTAAACTATTGTACTTATACATACATACTTTATATAATTATATAAAAGTGTTCATACTTTTAGACAAAACAGCATTTTTTTGTTGTTAATTGTGTTATTACGTTTTTTTGAACAAGCCGTGATTCCCATTCACTTCCATTATATGACTGACAGTCTGCAATGGTTTGAGTTAAAAATCTTTGTTTGTGTTCTACTGAAGAAACAAAGTCACCTACATCTTGGATGCCCTGGGGGTAAGCAGATAAACATCACAGTTTCATTTTTGGGTGAACTATCCCTTTAGCAAATGTTAACAAAGATTAATACTGTAACAAATGTATTTCTTATTGTTTGTTGATGTTAGTTAATGCATTAAATATAGTTAACAAATGGAACCTTGTAAAGTGTTACCGAAAAACTTTTGAAATTAAACTATTGTACTTATACATACATACTTTATATAATTATATAAAAGTGTTCATACTTTTAGACAAAACAGCATTTTTTTGTTGTTAATTGTGTTATTATATATCATATTTGATACATTAAGGTTTTATAGTTATTATAGTTATTGATCACCACTTTTTTGTATTTTGCATTACATTTAAAATATTTTAATCATTTCTGTTCATTTTGTTATTTTTTGTTCCTAGAGGAACATTAAGCTTTGTGGTGATCAAAATATATTATAAAATTCATAATAATGAATAACTTGAAATAAATATACATCAAACACCTAAAATATTTATAACACCTAAAAACTTTATAAAAATAAAAAAGTGCCTCAAATGTATGAAATATTATGCAGTCATTGCATACATAATAATTTTCAAATATTATTGATAATATTAAAGTTATTCTTGCAATTAATTTATAAAAATCAGAAAAGATTGTCCAGCTGTGCATCGTGACACAGAGGAAGACATTTTGGAAATGTTATTAGAAGTCTAGTGTTATGTAAATGCCAGTTTAGGTGTTATTCTGTTCCCTTCATAGTTCCTTCACATATAACAACTTGTATAATTTATTAGAAAATTTCTGCATAATTTAATTCAAACAATAATACTAAATTAAATGAAAAAGTGTGGCAGGTGGAACATGTTCCAATCACTTTTTTGACCACTTTTTGAAAATCGTTGCACAAATAGAAACGTTTCTGTTCTAAACACAGAAAAGCTTATCCAATCCTTAATTCCTTATAATATCATTCACAAAGTATTTTTGCACATGATTCATTTGATGGTCGAATGGTTGAGCAATTTATTATCAGATCTAATGACTCAATACAATACATCTGTTGCAGCATATCTTGTTGCTTAAATAATTATAATCTATCATTAAATGTTACGTTTTACTTTCTATCTCACCAAGCTTCATGTGGCCATCAGCAAAACTGCTGCTAAAGTGGTGATTGACTGCAAAACGGTGGGAAAGAAATCCATCAACGCCGCAGGGAACATCACCATTGATGGAGTGGAGGTTCTGGGACGCATGGTCCGCTCACGTGGAAAGAGAGATAACTCAGTGCCGGTAAGACCACAGCCATTCAGCCTCAATCCTAAAAGATGAGATTTACCCAGGCCTGAAAGAATCATTTGAGCCCATTACAGGACCAGCTATTGTCTCATAGAGACACAAAGAACTCAGTATACAAGTGGAGGAATGTTTCTGTGGAGTCTTTGTTTGGAGTCTGATAATTATTAAAGATGGTCTGAAACTCTGAGGGCTTTGAAAGCACAATCGTCGTCTCAGATTCACCCTTATAATGATTTTGTGGAATTCAAAGCATGGGCACTCAGTTTAAGATGGTAAATACAGACTTTATGCCTTTTGGTTTTTCCATCAGAATGTGTGGATCATTATGTCTAATTGTGTAGGAGTGCATCTGATTTTATTCTTCTCAGAGGCTGCCGGCACAACTGATGAGACTAATTGTCTTTGTAATTATGCTGGTGGGGGTTGTAATGTGAGTTTGTACCATGCAAAAGTTTTAAAATGATTAGAATCAGTCATTCAGCCCAAACAAATAATCAGACACATCTCAAGCACGACTGTTAGTACATGCATAAAGTTTCTGCTTATTTAGATTTTGTTCGTCCTCAACAGTGATCCCCTGCAATTTGTTTAGACTTCATAAAATGTTTGTGTTGATAAGATTTATAATGCATCACAATTGCATTTGTTGTTAAATGAGTGAATGCTATTCAACAGCCTTGCATAATTGGTCTGTTTGTGTGTGTTTTTATGATCCTGTCCACAGTTTCAACTCCAGATGTTTGACATCGTCTGCAGTACATCATGGGCCAGTCGGGATAAGTGCTGTGAGCTCCCAGGCTTGGTAAGACCCGACCAGTCGGTATTTTATACAATATATCTGTTTTATACAATCAAATAAGCCACACTCTAATCAGCTTACATTAATACTGCAGTTCTGTCACTGGTGAAACCCCAAATATCTTAACTACAATGTAAAACTCAAATATACAGTGATGACCAATCAGCACTCAATACTATCACCCACACGTAGTGCTCATAATTACTTTAGAATTGATTATTGCTGAACGAATTAGTGTAACAAGCCTTTAACCTTACCTGGGGACCATCATCACCCTAGGCATCTTTCCACCACTTTTTGTCATAGCTAATATAAAATAGCTTTATGAAATAGCTTGCGGCAGAAATGTATCTAATAAAGGTCCAACAACCAAATGTGGTCCTGCTTCTGATATACATCCGCTGGCATACAACAAATTTGGTTTATTAAAATAAAGAGTTATGTAAGGGTGGATTTGAACCTCTAGGCCAGCAGCGCTGATCCACTGATTTATCCTCTTTGCCTCAAAATCTCTAGACTAATAGTGCACTGTTAAAAAAACTAGCAGCTGTGATTGCCAGAAATTCACTGTAAACGATAATGAGACAATGTTTTCATTATTACTGATGCCTTTTTATTTTACAACTTATAAGCTTAACCATATATTTGATTAAGAGATAATGTTAAAATATCAATCTATTTGAACTACCAAAAATATTGGTGTGGCATATGTAAAGACAAAGTTGTCAAATTAAAGTGATAGTTCACCCAAAAATGAAAATTCTGTCATTAATTACTCACCCTCATTGATTCCAAACCCATACGACCTTCATTCATCTTCGGAACACAAATTAATGTTGAAATCCGTGAGCTCTCTGACCCTGCACAGACAGCAACGCAACTGACATGTTCAAGGCCCAGAAAGGTAGTAAGGATATCGTTAAAATAGTCCATGTGACATCAGTGGTTCAACTGTAATTTTCTGAAGCTACAAGAATACCTTTTGTGTGCAAAGAAAATAAAAATAGACTTTATTCGACAATTTCTTCTCTTCCGTGCCAGAATTCGATGCTCGTTCACAACAGTACCAAGACACATGTGTTTGCATTCCTCTGATTGAAAACAAGGCACAGCGCATGCAAGCTCTACATCAGTTCTTTACTGTCGTGAAGGCGCGTTGAAGATGCTTGATAAAATTAAGGTTGAACCACTGATGTCACATGGACTATTTTAACGATGTCTGAAAGCTCTCGGATTTCATCAAAAATATCTTAATTTGTGTTCCGAAGATGAATGAAGGTCTTACGGGGCTGGAACGACATGAGGGTGAGTAATGACAGAACTTTCATTTTTGGATGAACTATCCCTTTAGATGTTACAACATTTGGCTGTCCCAGCAAATGACTGTGTAATGAAAAAAAAAAAAAAACACTGTTAAAATGTCAAAATAGTTGATTTGTTAGCATTTCAGTGACTTGGAAATGAGTAAAGACCCCATAAAACAGTTAAATAACATTCATTGTATATGTAAAAAACAAAA